CCGTGCACTGTGCCCCTAGTATATCATAAGACTCAATATTGTCAACATGTCGATTCTTCCCAAATTGATTTATAAAGTCAATAAATCACCAATCAAAATTCTAAGTGTCTTTGTAAAAATTAACAAGCTGATTCTAAAACTTATGTGGCAATGTAAAGGACCTAAACTAGTCAAAATAATGTGGAGGAAAAAAAGAATATTGAAGATTTCAGAGTAATTGATTTAAAAAATTATTATAAAGCTACAGTTAGCAACAGAGTAAGGTCCCGGCGAAAGAACAGACACAGATCAATGGAACAGAGTCAAGTCTAGAAAAGACCTTGACAAATACGATCAATTGACTTTCAACAAGCTGCCATGGTGATTCAGTGCGGAAAATGATAGTATTTTTAATAAACGTTGTTAGAACAATTAGGTACTAGTATGGAGAAAAACGAACTTTACCCTTCGCCTTATACTCACATAAAAGTCAACTTGAAGTGCATCACGGACCTAAGCATGTAAATAAAGCTACAGAACCACCGGGAGAAAACAGAGAGAAAATATCTGCAATCTGAGGCTAGCTGAAGATTTTTTTAGATAGGACACGAAAAACCATGAACCATAAAAGAAAAACAAGAAATTTATTAAAATTTGAAACTTCTGCCCTTTAAAAAGCACCATTACAAAAAAAAAGGCAAGCCACAGACTGGGTAAAAATATTTGCAAATCATGTATCTGACAAAGGACTTGTTAAAAGAATAAAAATCTCATAAAACAACCCAAGAAGAAAATGGGCAAGAGATCTGTTCACAAAAGACGTACACAAGAAGGCACATGCCAATACACACAGGAAGTGACGCCCAATGGCATGAGCTTTCAGGAAAATGCAAATTAAAGCCACTGTCGGATACTGTTCCACACCAAGTGGAAACGTTAAAGTAAAAAGCGATAACAATGCCAAGTGTTGGCACGGATTAGGAACAACTGAAGCACTTACAGCCGCTCACACACCCTGGTGAGAATGCAAAGTGCACAGCCGCTCACACGCCGCTCACACACCCTGGTGAGAATGCAAAGTGCACAGCCGCTCACACACCGCTCACACACCCTGGTGAGAACGCAAATGCACAGCCGCTCACACACCCTGGTGAGAACGCAAAGTGCACAGCCGCTCACACACCCTGGAGAGAATGCAAAGTGCACAACCGCTTTGGAAACAGTCTGATAGGGTTGAGCACGCACTTATATGACACAGAAATTCCACTCCTAAAATTTAACCAACAGAAATCAAACGTATTTCCACAGAAAGACCTGGAAAAAAATGATCACTGCAGTTTGTTTTTTTCACAAAAGTCTGGAACTGGAAAGAGCCTAAATGTCCATCACAGGTGAATGGATAAACAAGGAAATACTACTCAGTGATGACAAAGAACAAACTACTGATTCACGCAACAAAACGAGTAAATGTCAATATCGTGCCGAGAAAAGAAGCTGAGATAAAAGTCACAGGTAAAACGTGGTGATATGCAGAACGGTATCTACTTGAATCTGGTGCTCCCCGCCCCCCGACTCAACAACCGAAACCAGATCAGGCGATGTTATGACAACCTGGTGGTCCACTTTGCATGGGTAATAAGATCAAAGCTGAACTCTATCGTGTCCCCAACTATTCTCTATTTGTGTATCTCTCATACTCCCCCAAAACACTTACACTGCACTGCTTCACTGTCGTGATCATGATAAAGTCCCGTGACGGACTGCAGGTCCTACACGGTCCAGCCCCCACCGGCTCCAGCCCCAGCGGTCTCCCGCTGTCACCTGTGCCTTGGAGACCAGCTGCAGCCTCGGGGCGTTCTCACCGCTGTCTCCCCACCTGCGCACGTCCCCACGGCTCAGCCGCTCGTCTCCTGTCTCTGGCCAATGAAACCCTCACCAAGGCCTGTCCCGGCACCTTAATTAAGATGGCAACCCTCCCCACCCAGGCGGCCTCCTCCCTGCTCCCTCTGCCGCGCACCGTTCACGCTCTAACAGAGGGCACACCTGACTTATTTGCTCGTGTCCGTCTGACCGGCACGCAGAAGGTGAGCTCCATGAAGGCGAGGCTCTCCCCCTGCCGCTCACTGCTGGACCTCCGTGCCCAGGGGGTGCCGGCCCGGCACACAGCGCTCAGCTGACGTGCGCTCAGTGGGTCTGCTTGACAGCCTGTTGATTCAAGGACCTGGTCTGCTTCACCGTGACTGCCCGGAGCCGAGTGCACGCTAAGCGCCCCCTTCTCACCTGTAACTGCTGCTGCAGGTGGGTGATTTCGGCGATTCGCAGCTCCCTGGACTTGTTTGTGCTCTCAATTTCTTGCCTTTGGGTGGCCAGTCGACATCTGATATCTTGAAGTTTTCCTTCAAGCTGATGCTTTTTATCATTCTTTATCAGATGAAAAATAATAAAAATTATTACCATTTTAATTGTTTGATGTTAATAAGTCTCAAAGCAAAATCCAACTTCACTCACCAGAGCTTCTAATTCAAATTCCAAAGTCTTCTTCTTTGCTTTCAGTACAACTATGTCTTCTTGTTCTTTGTTTCTTTGGTTTAATAGTTCCTGTCTTCGATTTCGCTCCCATTCAAGTTGTCGCTGCCTTTCAAGTTCTCGTTTTGCAGCCTGGGACACAGAAACAGATCATTTGTTAACTGTTCAGTTCTTACACTATACAATGTCTCTTAATAGATGATGGCAGTGGCTAAGTCTTTTCCTTTAGGGATGAAATAGTATTAAACATTTTGAGAAATTCCATTACAAAATAGGAAAATAAAACTAGATCAGCGGTTCTCAATCTGTGGGTCACGACCCCCTTGGGGGGTCAAACGACCCTTTCACAGGGGTCGCCTAAGACCATCGGAAAACACATATATAATTACATATTGGTTTTGTGATTAATCACTATGCTTTATGTTCAATTTGTAACAATGAAATTGGGGGTCACCACAACATGAGGAACTGTATTAAAGGGTCGCAGCATTAGGAAGGCTGAGAACCACTGACTTAGATAAATACAGCGGTTAAAAAATCTGCACTGAATCCCCACCCTTTCCACCAAACAAACCTTCGTGTCCCTACACTGCATATGAATGCAGAGGAAAAGTCTGAGAAATACTTAACCGATATCAGTGGCTTGTTATGAAACTGTCTTACCAAAAACTTGTACATGAATGCGCGTAGCAAAATTACTCATAGTAGCCAAAAAGTAGAAGTAACCCAATATCCATCAACTGATGAATGGCTACGTAACAAGTGGTTATGCGTGTAAAGGATATTATTCAGCCACAGAAAATGATACAGCACTGACTCATGCTAGAACCTGGATGAACCTGAACACAGCATGTCGTGAGAGCAGACACCAAAGGCCACACACTGTACGCCCCGGTCCTTGAAATGGCCAGAGAGAGACCGACATGGACAGAAGGCACATCAGTGGGGTTTAAGGGATGGAGGGGGAGGGGAGCGGAACTGCTTAATGGGCAAGGAGTTTCCTAGGGGGGTGGAATGTTCTGGAATTAGATCTGATGACGGTTTCAGTTTCTGAATGTGCTGGACCCGCAGGGCGGTAGCAAGGCCGTGGCGCGTCCCAGGGCGGGGCGCGCTCACCTCGCGCCGCTCGATCTCCTTCCGCCGCTCCTCCTCGCGCTGCCGCTCCAGCTCCCGCTGCTTCTCCCGCTGCTGCTCCAGCTCCAGCTGCCGCCGCCGCTCCTGCTCCGCGCGCTCGCGCTCCTTGCGCTCCTGCTCCGCGCGCTCCAGCTGCGCCAGGCGCTCCTGCTCCTTCCGCTGCTGCTCCAGCAGCGCCTGCCGGCGCTTCTCCAGCTCCAGGTTGCCGCGCTCGAAGTTCTCACGCTTCTTATCTTCAAATGTCACTTGGAAACGAGAAACAAACAGCTGTGAAAAGTCACACTCACCACGCCCTGGTGGAAGGAAGAACCGAGGCACCCCTGAACCCGTGGCACGAACGCACACCAGGCCCTGTGCGCCCTCCTGCCTGCACCGTTTGCAAGCAGCGACAATGCCGTCCCTCGCTCCTTGCCCGCACACTCGCCCCTCACGCTGAGTGCCACATCATGGCGTTCAGAACGCCATTGCCAAAGGCTCTTCCTATGGCAAGTCTGCGCCGTCTACAGCAACCCCCTCTCCTGCGGTGACTCTATCCGCCTCCTTCTCCATGACCTGGACGCGGCAGCTGACCCCATGCACTGCCCTGACGACTCTTTACATGGACGTTTAAGCCTCAGTTACACATCGCCTTCTCGGGGCACGGACCACGCATTCTTAACACAGACTCTTCGCTGTGCTCAGCACATTGGCAGAAAGAACATTTCCACTGAGTGGCTTATCAGTGAACAAATTTAAGGAGGAAACAGAAAACTGGTGTCCTGAGCATGGCGGTTTACCGCCAAGCACTTTAAATGCAACAAGACAACACTGACGAAGTATTAAGCACACAAGCTCCCTAGTACATTTCACTTACTTCTTAGTATCGCTATCATCACCATTAATAATTCACAGCTGCCTTAGAATCCTATATAATAAAAGTCTAACATGTAAATCAACCGAACAGCGAACGACCAGTCACTATGACATTCACTGACCACCAGGGGGCAGACGCTCAATGTAGGAGCTGCCACCTGGTGGTCAGTGTGCTCCCACAGGGGGAGCGCCACTCAGCCGAAAGCCAGGCTCACAGCTGGCAAGCGCAGTGGCGGTGGTGGGAGCCTCTCCCACCTACACAGCAGCACTAGGCGTGTACCGGGTTTAGTGTTTTAATATTGTGATGGGGTTATCCTTGTAAATGAGGATTACTTACATGTTACATTTAAAATAGCTTCTTGTTATTATGGCGTTTCTAACTCTCCCAAACAACATGAGAAAGTAACAGTAGCGATTTTAATTCCTATTTCTGGTGGCATTAAGCAATCTCCTTAAAGACTTATTAACTTGAGTGCTATATAAATAACATTTATAAGTTTTTGTTTAGTGAATAATCCGATGTCCGTGTAAAAGCTGGAACAAGGGTGCGTTTGCAGAGTACACAACGTTCTCATCTCCGCGCATATATGCAAATCCAAATTAACATGCGTCCTTTAAGGGAGGCTAACGGGGCACAGCTCCATGTCATCGGGCTTATCTCTGCCTCTATCTCTGCCTCGGAGATGGAAACCTCTGAGGTGACAGAACTCGAATGCAAGTTACCAGGCAATTTCTTTTCTAGCTGCTGCTCGTCTTCTAACACGGGCTCTTCTGGCAGCCTCTGGTCCACCGAGGCTGAGCTCAGGGCAGACACGCCGCTGCCAGAGCGAACTCGCCTGCGATCGTGGAAAAGAAGAAAAAAGAAAAGTGACGTCAAGCTGTCCAGGTGGGACTGAGCAAACTGTGGAAAAGATTTTTTTTTTTTAATATATTTTTTTATTGAGTTTTTACAGAGAGGAAAGGAGAGAGATAGAGAGTTAGAAACATCGATGAGAGAGAAACATCGACCAGCTGCCTCCTGCACACTCCCCACTGGGGATGTGCCCGCAACCAAGGTACATGCCCTTGACCGGAATCGAACCCGGGACCCTTCAGTCCGCAGGCCGACGCTCTATCCACTGAGCCAAACCGGTTTCGGCATGTGGAAAAGATTTTTAAAAGATTCGGCTCTATATCATAATATTGTGGGGGAAAAGACTTGATCCTCACTATTTACAAAGCTTATAGAAATAAGTATTTGCAGTCGTCAGGCTCAGTGCCAAGCGTGTTCAGATGTTCAGAACCACCGCCAGAATTAGGGCCACCCCAAAGAAACGAACCGTGAGCAGCCCCAGGCGGCCAGAACAGGCCAGGACAAAGGGGTTCACGCCACCGCCATCACCATCACGGGAGTTCACACCGCCTGGACCCGCTCACTGGGAGCATCTCATTCCGTTTATATAACGTCTGTCTGTTTACTGCTTCGTAAACACGGAATGCCTGCACTTTGAAGCCCTTAAGCACGTGGGTGACTGATGGGTTCCACTGGACTCGTTAACCTGCTCAGTTCCAGAGCCGCCTCTGAGCGCCGCCCGCCACCTCCCGGGGCCTCAGACACAGCCGCCGGCGGTCTGCTCAGCCTGCCCGTCCCGGCCCCGCTGACAGTGACGGCCCCATCTCTCCTGCTCTTACGGACACCTTTCCTGCAGCCTTTCCTCATGTTTGAGGAAGGAGAACAGAAACTCCTATCTTTCTCTCCCTGTGCCGTAGGGTCTCCATTTGCCTTCCCGGGGCCGGCCTGGGAGGGAGTGGGTGCCGTGCAGGCGGAGGACGCTGGTGGCTGAGGTTCTCCCCCTGGACTCGGTCCCCTCTCCGCACGCCCCTGGGCTGGGCTGCAGCCGGAAACGCTCCCGTTCCCTTCCTGACTATCACGGCTCCAGCGCCAGCGCCCCCTTCCCTCCCCGCCGGCAGGAGTGAAGGAGGCTCCCCGCTTTGCTGGCCACGGACAGGCGGCCTCACGCTGCTGGGACTCCATGAGCTTCAAGGATACAGGTCGGTAGAAACGGCTCCCGCCTTTCGGCGTTCTACGAACACGGGCAGACCTCGCTTTACCGCCTTCCACAGAGACTGCGTTTTTTACAAACTGAAGAAGGAAAGACCCTCCACCAGCAAAAAAGATTTCGCCTTCAGTGTCCCCGAAGCCTGTACGTGTGAGGGGCATGCCCAGGCGAGCACAGAGCTGGACAGGGCTCTCCTGAGCTCGAGGAAGACTGACTTACTCGCCAGGAATAACAATGACTAGGACAGAGCCACGCCTGACAGCTGCATGCGGGCACATGGCCCCCGAGGTGCTCCTTACCGAAAGGAGGGCGGGATGTACTCCGCGGGCAGCACGGGCGGCAGCGGCTGGCCGGCCATGGCCACGTCGATGAGGTGCATGGCCAGGATGAACTCCTCCGCCGTGAGCTTCCCGTCTTGGTCAATGTCAGAGAGGTTCCTAGTCAACAAGAAGCTCGCTGTGATCTGGTTCCACGGAGACGCACGCTGGTTACTGCTCATGCGTCATCTAATGTTCTATTTTCTTATTTTGACTTCAGGCCAATGAAGTCTCTCCGTGCCTCAGTTTATAAAAACAGCACCTATTTCATACTGCTATGGCAACAATGAAATGAGACAATCCATAGCGTTGACAGGGTGGTTAGCATCCAACAATGTTACCTACGATACAATTATACTCTTCTCTACCCTGCAAGCCCATTTAAAGCGTGTCATACTTAGATTCTGCGTGTACTTAACACTACGCTCAGCAAACTAGCAGGCCAGGCAAGAACTGTGTCAGCTCTGCAGGACACAGTCTCTGTCACTGAATTCTGTCTTTGTAGCAGGAAAGCAGCCACAAATGACATAGAAACAAATGGGCGGGGTCGTTACCATAAAACTCCTTTCACACAAGCAGGTGCAAGCCCCCGGGCTCCGGGGCCACCCTGATCTAGGCCTCGCGGGATCTCTATGGCCTCCAGCCACAGCTGAGGTGTTTTCTGCTCTTCAGTCTGAGGGCTTGATCCCCACAGCTCTTCATCACCAACCTGCCCTCGGAGCTGATTCGCGTAAACAGATTTTCCTAGCAAGTCCGAGACTGTGCTTCCACTTAACCTGTGGACAGCAAGAGCGGGCAGGACAGAGCTGCTCACAGCATGTCGACAGGGCGGAGGCCACCCTGGGAGCTGGCCTGGCTGAGGCCTTAGACCAAGAAACTCCTCTTAAATCTGACCTTTCCTCAGAGAGAACACCATCTGATTAACTTAGCACATGGCGGACCAGTAGTTTTACTGCTAGCTTTACCCAGTGGCCAGGTCAGTTTCTATTGAAAGAGTACAAAAAAGTTTTACATAAATGTTAAAGGCACGTGTTAAAATTAAATACCCATTGCATTCTGAAGTTATTTATTACCTGTTCTTACAAGCTAGTATCTTTTTAAAATATGATACTTTGTAAAACACTGTCATATGAAGCGAGAATTCTCGGGATCCGTCCCCAATGTGTTAAGAATTATTATTAAAATTAGGTGGGACAACTGACATTATAGTCACGTTAAAAAAAAAAACAGCAACCCGTCTCTTTTGGAGACACAAGCTGAAATATTAGCAGATGAAAATGGCATCATAACAGAGTTGGCTGTAAATAATCGGAAAGCGGAGGGAGGACCAGGCTGGCCACAAGTGGAAACTATTTAAGTGGGGTTATGAGTTCTTGAGAGCTCATTATATTACTCTCTCTGCTTTTGCATTTTCCAAAATCAAAATGGGAACATGTAAGACAGGTAATCATTAAAAGTCATTGAAAAAGTAAGCATATTCCATGCCCCCCTATAAATAATGGTATTAATCGGAAGACTGGTGAAGCCATTGATGTAAGAAATCAAGGACCTCTTTATATAGGGTGTCCCAAAATTCACGCAAGATTTGAATTTTGAGTGAGCATTAACAACAACAACAACAAAAAATAAAAGCCTAATGTTACTTGGTTTATTGAATCAGATTCTAATATCTGCTGCCCTTTGATGTCAATCCCTTCAATTTGATAAGCATCACCAAGTACCAATGATGGCCCAGGAGCAGGGACAATGAAGACCAATGAAGACCACGGCTTGGCGTCTGTGCCAGCAAAGTCATGGAGGCCATTTACCCGATGTGCTATTCCATACATAACCCTAGACTGTCTACTTTATGAATCAATAAAAAATGTACATTTTTTAATTATAAACCTGTGTTTTCTATCAAAACTACTTCTTGTGTGAATTTGGGACACCCTATACACACCAGGGCCGTCTGCTCCTCCCTTACCAGATAGAGGCCAGCTGCGCCTGCGGCAGACTCGACTGCATGAGAATCGTTCTTGCCTGGGGACCTGCGCAAAAGCCAGAAGAAAGTGTCACGTGAACCAGCAAATCGCCCCTGTCCGAGTCCCGGCCACACAGCCCCATGCAGCCACCGCTTCAAGCATCGACTCCCACTCCAGAGGCTTTTCAAAAGGAAACTAAACCCCAACGGGAACGGGAAACACGCAGCACATGGCCCACGTCTGTGACACGGATGAAGAAAGGGTGAGTGAAAAATCAGCTTCCAACTAGAAGCCGCCCCTCGGCCCGGAGTATCATCTCCCTCAGAGTGAGGCTCCATCGCCAAGGCTGAAGGCGTTCTGTCTAAGCCAGCGGCGTCTCCACACCTGCTGCCCGCCCCCCACACAACCATCGGACCAGCCAGGGAAGGGCAGAGAGCGACAGGGGAAGGGACCGCACCGAGAGCCATTTCAGTACAGCTGTAACCAGAAACAGCGGCGTGCTCACGGTTGCACAATATCTTGGCTAACAGCACACAGTCAAAAAGAATTCCTGGAATTTCAACTCTCCTCTCAAAATCGGCTCCCATTCTGGAATTCTTGTAAATGTCCTCCCTCCTGGAACTAAACGAGCCCTCGGTGTCCCAGGCTGCAGAGGCGCAGAGTGACCCCCTGACAGCACCAGAGGGACGGGCGTCTCCCTCCCGCACAAGCTGCCCCGAAGGGCCAGGTCCCAGGATGGCCACCGGGAGTAGAGAGCGGCGGCAACCACGGGGAACATTCCTTCAGCTCTTTCACTTTTCAGAGAACACCGCCTGAGGAAACACGAGTGGGCATTTCCACGGGGGTTGCCGAGGGTGAGGGGTCGCAGAGCACAGCAGGTTCCCGCAAAGGAGGCCCCAAGAACACCAGCAAAAGCACTGTGACGGGGAGCTAGGGTCTGTTCAGTCCAGGAAGTGATAAGGGGCTGTACAGACAGCATCCTCCCTAACTCTAACCCTAACCCTAACGCTAACCCTAACCCAAACCCGAACGCTAACCCTAACCCTAACCCTAACGCTAACTCTAACCCTAACTCTAACCCTAACACTAACCCTAACCATAACCCTAACCCTAACGCTAACCCTAACCCTAACCCTAATGCTAACCCTAACCCTATCCCTATCCCTAACCCTAACCCTAACCCTAACCCTATCCCTACCCCTAACCCTAATGCTAACCCTAACCCTAACCCTAACCCTATCCCAAAACCTATCCCTAACCCTAACCCTAACCCACATTTCCAAGTCGATGACCCATCGCACAAGGAGCCATAGCAGGAGCTTGGCCCAGGGCCAGCACATCGGGCAAACAGGAAGCTTAAATAAAGGGCAGTCACCGCACTGTCAATAGTCTGCCTTGCACATAAGAGCACACATGAATGGCTTACACATGTGCACATGGAGGCAGCTCAATGAGCTCCAGACTGGCAATGGCCCAGCAAACAGCACCAGGGAGCAGCACCCCAAAAGCCTCTGGAGCTCCCTTCAATCGCCCCTCCCACCAAGTGCAGCCGATTCCTAACGGCAAAGCGCGCCAACGCTGAGCCTGGCTGATTTCGCTCATCGTGTGATTACTGTGCGCTGCTGGAGACATAACCCTAACTGCTCTGTAGTATGTCACAGTCTGGAGCTATGATGAACAGTGAACATTCTAATTTGGGTGAACATCCGTATACCTTCCTGCTGTGTGCACAATGGAAACACCTACGAATAAAACACAATCCACTGAATTAATGTGAAAGGCTGTGACGTATTGGAATGAAAAAGTTCACTGTTCCTTTTATTTCATCCCTAACGCTGTATTTAGAATTGGCAACATGAAAGTTGAATTTCTACTCAAAGTAGCATCTGAATATGTTTTAATCAACTCATGGCAGACACCAACAGTGCTGTGAGGAAAGGTCTCAGACTCACAGCAGCGCAGTCCTGGGGCAGAATGGGGCACCGGGACCAAGCACACCACACCAGGCAGCTGACCGTGGCCCTGCCCAGCTCTCCCCAGTCCGGGCGCGGCGGGCTCCTCATGCTGCGTGTAACAGCCATGTGCAGAGGAAGGCACAGAGGACTCGTGTAATGGCCGTGGGCAGAGGGAGGCACAGAGGACGCATGTAATGGCCGTGTGCAGAGGAGGCACAGAGGGTATGCGAGGCTGTTACAAACACATGCTTGTTTGAGGGGTGCTGAGATCTGTGGGGTGGGGGGTCACGGTTGGATCAGAACCCTTCAAAGGTCACACCAATCCTGACATTTTTAAACAAGAGTGAATTTTTCTGTTAGAAGTAAAAACTGCAATTGAGACAGAAAAAACAGACAGCGCGCACCTGAAATGAAGTGCTGGGCTGCACCCCAGTGCGTCCGTCCCGGAAAGCGGGCCTCGGCCGCCCTTCGCCTCTGTCAGCAGCCAGGGCCTCCTGCCCTGTGCCCTGGAGGTCCTGTCAGAGGCCTCGCTTTCCTTTACTAAAAGCCGCTCTTCTCCACGAGGCTCCCAGCAACCCTCAGGAAGGGCTCTAGACCAGCGGTTCTCAACCTTGGGTCGCGACCACTTTGGCAGTCGAACGACCCTTTCACAGGGGTCGCCTAAGACCATCCTGCAGATCAGATATTTACATGACGATTCATAACAGTAGCAACATGACAGTGATGAAGTAGCAACGAAAATAATGTATGGTTGGGTCACAACATGAGGAACTGTATTTAAAGGGCTAGAAGGTTCAGAACCACTGGTCTAGACGCTCTCCCAAACCCTCCTCCGGAGACCAGGTAACTGCACTCTGGCCTCTTACCCGTGAAGTCAGATCCAATAGGTAGAGTGGCCTCCACCTCGCTGCTGGCAGAGCTGGATGCCCCCCTCCCCTCCCCGGCAGTCACTCTCCCTCTCACGGCCTTCAGCCTGTGCGCGGGCAGCGCCCAGTTCACCTACAGAGCCCACTCGGGACCTGGCACAGTGTTCCCAGCAGGGTTTCTCTGCCAGGGCCGCTGTGCACGCTAGCAAGGCAGCGGGGAGGAGGGTCCGGTCTCCTTCCATTGACCAAGAGCAATGGGCAGCCGCCTGAGGCACTGAGGGCACAGGAACCACGGCTGCATCAGCGGGGGGGGGGGGGATTAGGGAGGACGGACAAGGTAAGAACCCCAATGAAAGCCCTGTTCCCAAAGAGCAAGTGGGGAAAGGCTTGGAGACGCTTTGGCCCAACGGCTAGAAACAGCGTGCCTCCCGACACGGCCGCGCTCACGCGCACTCCCCGCAGTACCTGTGAGGTGCCCGCTCATGGTCTTGTCGTGGCTGTTGAACAGCTGCCGGTACTTGAGCCTGGATGACTGGGGCACCGCCCACTCGGCCAGTGGCGGGGCGCTGCGGGAGGGAGAGAGGGAGGCGTGAGCAGCAGCACCGCGAGGAGTGTCGGTCAACCGAGCCGTCTCTAGAAAACCGGCTGGACCTCTGCTCACTTCTGAACCACGATGTCTGAATGTTCTGTAATGAGTCTGTCCACCTTTTAAGGCCGTGAGCGTCTCTTTCACAAGAGATACAAATAAGCGTATGATTTTTCCAGAATCAAAGGTAAGCGCAACACGGCTTTTATACACGATTTAATCATCTCAAGGGCCTACACAGGTATGGACCCTCGGAACTGAGATGATCCGACAATGTCCAGGCTTTCACGCTTCTGGAGCGTTCTCTCCTGGTTTAAACAGCAGTGCTGATCGCCGACAAGCCCCTCCCTGTACAGGTACTCCTTCTCCAAAAGTCCAACCTTCTCCGAACCAACACACAGGATGTATTTCTTTTTAATTGGTTTGTTGCTTAAAGTATTACAAAGAGTATTATACATGTCTCCTTTTTTTCTCTCCCCTCAGGATGTATTTCTTAATGCAGGGAGTCATTCTATTCCGGGAAGTCTCAGTTCCCACAAACGGAGGCCTTCCCAGAAAGGAGCACAGGCACAGGGCCCTGGCACGCGTGGCGGCGGCGGGAGCTGGCTCCGCCCGCCCGGAGTACAGCCGGCCTTGGCCGGAGAGCAGGGCCCACAGCGCCACACTGGCCCCGGGGCTGTGAAGAGCCAATAGCTTACACACAATGACAGCAACAGCGCGTGCGTTCCAGGGCTGGCGACGCCTAGTGCCCTTTGCCATTTCCTTTCATTGCCACGAAAACACCTATTCCTCACATGCAAAAGCCAACTGTAACCATCAGCCGAACCTGCGAGCATCCTGCAGAGACGGGACCTGGCACTCACACCTAGTCCAGCGCTTCACGCACAGGAACCGGCCCGGGCACTGGGAGCACCTGCACAAGCTCACCTTTTCCCTTTTTATGAATGACCCTGAACAAAGCACTTACCACCGCCTCGCCTGCTGGGCGTACTTCTGCAACAGCTCCCTCATCTTCAACTAACGCCTAGCGGCTGACTCCCGCTCCTGACTATCTGGCAGAGGCTGGTTATCTGCCCCCTGCACCCCGGGCTCGGGTGCTGTGCACAGAAGTGGCCCCAGATTATACTTATCAAGGCAGAGTTTCCTGCCAACTTCCTGAGAACGTAAACAGACTAAACATTCATCAACAGGTGGCCAAAAAGCTAGAGGCCACATTATAGGAATTTGCCAGAAGTTTAAATTACTGAAAAGATGACTACCTAAAAAAACAGTATCTTCAGAGCACCAATGTTTGCTGAACACTGGTATTTATTCATTCTAATGTCATTAGTCAGCGTCAGGACAGACTGACCGTCCAGCGGAGACAGAGGCAGCCGAGCTTCCAGCGAGGCGCTGGAGGGAGAAGATGGGCGTTCAGGGCGTGAGGACCCGAGTGTCCACCTCAGCTGTGCCCTGGTCAGCTGTGGCCCTGGGGGAGCAGCGGCCTCTCTGGGTCCATCTCCTCGGGCACAACTCTGAGGCACTACTTCCTGCCCAGCGGAGGCGGGTGGGGTGGGGCTAACGAGGTGTCTGCTGGGCAGATGCTCAGCAACGGTTCCCGAGTCTTAGTGTAGAAGCTCAATGAAGTGGAACACAGATACCTGTCACCACAGTAACCGAGTGTGTGTGTTTTCTTTCAGTAACTGAAGTTTTGGGAGCAAACTTCCACAGGTAAGAACATGCCTTAAAATCAGCAAGAGCTCGGTCCAACCCCGAGCGCGGGCACTGAAGGGCGATGCTAGTTTGAGCAAGTCTCTTAGTGTCTCTGAGCTTCTTCCTCATCTTAACTCGGGGACAGGAAGAGTCCCTTTATGGGGGAGAGAGTGAGCATTAAATGAGGGAATGGACATAAAGCGTTGGGCACAGTGCTTTTCAGTTCACAGATTTTCTTTAAATCATTTTTTAAAAGGTGATGCATTTGAATTATATCCAACACACTTTTTAAAGTGGAAACGCCTTGATTCACTTCGGGGAGATTTCTAAAGAGGACTGAGTCAGAAAAGATGGGTCGTCTCCACTACATTCCCTTGTCCTTCCAGAGGCTCTGAGATGGCTTACCGGCCAAGCTTAATTTTCCAGCTTACTGCAGCCACACGCGGGGAGAAGTAACGGTAAAAGAAAATTAAAGTATGAAAGATGACATGAAACCAAGATTGGCCAAAATATAAGCAATGAAATCATGCAAGCTTTGCCAAAATTGAGGCACATACTTGGTGGACAGCACCTGTCCATTAATCTGAATAATCCATTTCATAAAAATCGACCTTAAATAGGGTTCTGTCGATTCTCAAGGACTACATAAGGTTATCTGAGCTGGAATTTAAAATAAGGCCAATCATTGCTCTCGTCTTCATATAAAACATTTGTAAACTTCTCATGGCTAACACAAAATAGTTAACTTGCTTTCTCCCCTGACACCTCGAGTTGCATTTGATTCGATTTAAACATGTACTACTACCCATCCTCTTAAAAAACATCCTTTAAAGGAAACGCCACGTCCTTGATGCTGTGAACAAACACATGAAAAACCAGAAGGGAGAACATATTTGCCATGCTACAAAGGAAAGGTGATAAAGAACACAGCTTGCTCGTTTTCACATTTGTAGTTACCAGGTAATACCTGAACCAAACTGCCCGTTTAAAAACAGGCACACTTACCTGGCCACGTCGAGCGATGGCGCCTTCTGTAACTTAGTGTTTAGCTGGGACCCTGGACCAGACCTACTAAAAGAAGAACTCTTTGGCAATGTGGCTGCTGTAAAAATAAATAAATGTTGAATAATTTTAATTCCACACAGATAAGAAACTTTCCCCTGCTTACAAAAATGAAAAGGCAGAGCCATCAAGTCTGAGGCAGAACTCATTCCTCCTTCCTTCCCCATCCTGGACTCAAAACGTTATTCCCGCCTTCCTTCCCGCCCTCTTGTAAATGTTTCTAATTTACTTGTTCCCACTGACAGGCACTAAGTAGTAATGTGAACACCCACAAAACGTTACTTCCATCAAACACTTGGTGTCAGTTTTCATAAGATCTGTCAACAGTCAGAGAAGGGAGAGCTTAAATATATGGACGGCCCATCCCTCACTGCACTGAGGAGCTGAAGGGAGTCCCAAGTGGAGGAGACAGAAGTCCCAGGGCCAGGTACCCCGGGGCGCTGGGGGGACAGTGTGGGCGGCTGAGAGATGTGATAAAGCGGGGCTGAGTGCAGGGGTTACGTTCAAATGCGAACGCCCAACTGTCATCAGCACCGAATTTACTCGAACATCAAAACCCTTTAACAAGCACACGCTCGGTGTCGGTGCCACCTCAGTAACACTGTCAGACTAGGCTGTCTCCATGTATACTCCGGCTTTCTTTCAATGACAGGGAAAAGGCTCTGGATAAAGTTTCGAAATGAAACTAGGAACTTTTTCACCCTCTTCTTCAGTTTATCAAGTATGTATACCTCAATCAGCCTCACACCTCCCGTTTGAGATGTTGAAAACAATGAGAAATTAGATGAAAATACTTTCCCCTGGAATAAAACTCCACTTGAATATAATCAGAAAGAAGACAGAGGTTTATCGAGAACGTGTGGCACCTACCAGGATGGGCGAACGCAGGCAGCGGCTGCATGACCGGGGGTGCCCCATTGGCCAGGGGAGGCACTGCTGCTGGAGGGACGGAGGAGACGAGGGGGGGGGACATCCCGACCACTGGGAGGGTCCCCATTGGCACTGGCGCGACCGCCGGCAGCGGGGGCATGCTGGCCAGGCCGCCCACACCTGCGGAGGAAGGACAGCAGTCACACAGGCACGTTTCAGCATTCAGTGACCAGGACCCAGGACTGCAGAGGCGCTTCCCTCTTTCCACCGAGTCCCTCCAGAGCCCGCACTCGGACATCACGTGGGAGAGCACCAACCTGTGAGGGACCCAGACCCCCTGAGGAGGGGTCCCCTGGCCAGAGGGAAGGACCACACAACAGTCACTGCAAAGGGCTGGGAGCACACAGAATCAGACTCGGGAGCTCACAATGGCCTTCAAAACCAACCGGCCAAAACCCTGGCGGTCACCACAGGTCATTTATTTTGAAAACTAGCAAATAAAGGGGAGATCAATCCAAGCTTTCTCCTGCCTGACCTTTACGCACTGAACCTCAGAGCAGCCAGACGTCTGAGGGGCTGTCGCTCCTTCCAGAAGGGTTCCAACCACAAAACGGAGAAATGAGAGAAGTGCAGTGAACGCTTCCTTCCTGCTCGGCTCTTCTCGTCCCGTGACCGTGAGGAGAGACCCCACCCGTCCTCGCCCAGTGCCTGGTCCTGAGCCCCTGTACTTCCCTGACGGACAGCCACAGCCTCTGCTGCAATATCTGCTCTTGGTCCTTGGTCTCTACGCAAGAACTTCCCCGACCCTGGAACCTCTGCAGGGATGTTTCTGCACCTGAATGAGGTGGCTGTGGGGGGTGGGGGCCCCTAAATAGCTGAGGGCTGGGAGCGAGGACAGGAAATATGAAGACATGATTGGAGGTCTAGGAAGTCCCACCCACCTGCCTGCACAGACCTGGAGGGGAGGGCTGGAGGGGCGACAGCTAATGGCCCGTGACTGAGTCCCTCATGCCTGCGCAATGAACCCTCCATGAGAACCTACACGGAGGGCTTGGGCAGCTTCGGGCTGGGGAACACGCCCTCGAGCTGGAGGGGGGAACACCCCAACTTCATAGGCCCTGCGCTCAGGACCCGCCCTGGGCAGTCTCCCTGGCTGCTCATCTGTCCCCTCAAAATAGCCTTTGTTATATAACAAACCGGTAAACGTAACCCGAAGTTTCTCCAAGTTTTGTGAGCTGTTACAGCAAATTAGAGAAAAGGGGAGACGGGTGTGTGGGGACCTCTAACTACGTCGGGAAGTCACACAGAAGTGTGGGGCCTGGGGATCCATTACTGGTGACTCACGTGGGGACAGTCGTGTGTGACAGCCTTTAACCGTGGACTGGCCGCTAACCCGGTGGTCCATGAGGGTCGAAGGGAATTTCTCAACGCTAGGTTAGTGTCCGGAGGGTTGAGACACTGGTTTTCTGGACACGGAACTCCTGGTCCCTTCTGCCCTTGGGCTCTAAGTAGGTCCCTCCATGTCCTCCTGGCGCAGAGCGCAGGCGGTGAACTTGCTCCGGCTCCAGCTCCGCTCCTGCAGGCCGGGCGCCTTCTCGCCCGCAGCCCCAGAACTTTCCGTGTCGCCAGGACGCAGCTCCGTGGGAGTCTTCCTGGCACGCGGCTCACGCAGCTCCCAGCCTCACTGCCAGCCTCCCGGCCCCGCTCCCGCGTCCTTCAGGGGCCCCCACTGGCCCCCAACTCCCGCCTGCGGCATCCGCCACCTTTCTCCACCTTCCCATCTCCTTTTCATTGTGACGTGTGCAGCCGTCCTCTCTTCACCGCCCACTTCTCCGCAGACTCCCGTGTGGCTTCGGGTCAGCTTCATCCTGAACGGCCTTTGCTCTCACTGACCCTCGCCCCCGGGCTGTCGCCTTCTCGCGTGGGAAGCAGAACTGCGTGGCTCCCCGGACCCGCAGCGCTTCCTCAGGTGGCTCAGCTCCTGCTGCGGAGCAGGGCCCTTGGGCGCGGGGCTCGGCCCTCTTTTCTAAGGATGACCCCGCGGGGCTCTGCTCCGCACCCACCGCCTGGCTCAGGCAGCGCTGCCCCGGGGCCTCCAGCCCCCGCGCCCTCAGTGCAGGAAGCTGCATGGGGCCGGCTGGGGGAATTCACGGGGACCGGCTGCCCGCACCGTCCAGCCTCCGCATCCGACAGGCAGGGCGCTGCTCTGGGTGCCCCGTGCTCCCACCCAGTGGC